CTGGTACAGATGATAGGAAAATAGTAACCCAGTAGCAGGGATCCCCATCTTTGAGGTGTGGTTATTTGATGGAATGTGTGGAAGCAAGAAGATGCCTGAATCTGTGTGCAAAAGGAGAACTCTAAACCATATCCATAGCCAGAACTACTAGTTGATAAAAATGTAGAGAAGCTATTTTAAAAACATTTATTGAAACAGAACTATATCACTATAGAAATAACACAAGTAATATAGATTTCACTAAATTGGTAAAAGTTGAGAACAAGTTTTTCCAAGATGAGATGTATAATTTCAGTTTTTTAAAGTGGGTATTTAGAGGGTTTTCATATAGAAACACGTAGACCTGCATAAGCCATCATACCTGAAATGTGATCTAGAATGAACTTCTTTATGCTTCAGATCCTGTGTGTGTGTGTGCACATACATGTGTAAATATGCACATGGTTAAATAGATACAGACTCTCTAATAGCAGTAACAAGGTTTGGAAGGAGAAGCAAAATGCCAGAACTTGTCCACTATTTGCAAGAAAACTGCAATAACTTTACCTCTTTTTTATAGATTTTATCAATCTTATTTCTAGCTGTTAACATGAAAAAAGTCTTGTGTAATACAGGAATTCTATAAAATTTAAATTTACCAAGTCTTTTTAACCAAAAATTGGGGATACACATAATTTCTCTTCAGTATTTCAGTGCTCAGCTGATCACAGAACCTTCAAGGGTTTGTTCGCTTCCCTCACACACGCCCATGCAAGAACACGCTCACTCGCAGAGTGTTTACTGTGCACCTACTCTGTCCTGGGAGTCGGACCCCGTGCCCTTGTGGAACTTAAATTGTAATGGAAAGGCAGATGTTAAGCACAAATTATACAAATGTATATTCAAATTATGGGTAAATGGTGTAAGAAAGGCTATGCTAAGAAATAATAGAGGGATTTGATTTAAACTATGGTAAGGGAGAAAAAAGTTTTAAATACAACCTGAGGGATAGGCCCTCCCTGGTGGCGCAGTGGGTTAAAGCACCACAGTGAGGAGCTAAAAGCCACTTCTGCATGAGTTCGATTCCCGCCTACCCCGGAGGTGACCACATGGCACGGCAGACCTGCCCGCTGCTCCCCTTAGCAGCTGCTCCCCTCAGTAGTGTACTTCGTTGATCTGCCTGTCCTGCTCCCCACTCTGTCTCTGGTGAAGCCTCTCGCCACACCTGAGCCTCTGGACTGTATCCCAGTTCTGTATGCAAAAATAAATAAATCTTTAAAAAAAAAAAAAACCTGAGGGATAAAGAGATGTTTCTTAAGGAAAAGGCCAGGGAAAGCATTTCAGATAAAGGAAGGAAAAGCTGGGAAGAGCTTGGCCTGTTAAAACTATAAGAAAGCCTCTTGGCTCTGACCGTAGGGGTTGGGTGGTGGGTGGTGGGCATGGACGGGTGCGGGTGCTTGTGCTTTGACTATATCTGGGGTGGTAGAAAGGCAGGGACTGAGAAAGAGGCCCTTAGAAAAAACTACTGAAAGTCTAAATTAAAGATTAATCTCAGCTTAAAGCTAGAGACAATCAGTCCATATTGATAGTAAACATTATTTGGGATGTATAAATCTCATTATTAGCCTGTATTATAGTTGACATGGAAAACAGTGGTTTGTTAACATTTTTTTAAAAATCACACTGGTTTCTATGATTAGAATGGATTGTGTGGGATTGAGGACAGAGCAGAGGCTGATAGGTGCTGCAGTGTCCAGTGGCTTGGACTGGAGACACGGAGGTGCGTTTGGAGACAGCTGGTTGCATTCAAGGTATATCCTAGAGGTGGAACCAACGAGCCCTGCGTATATCATGTTGGGAGTAAGAGAGAGCTGTCAAGGAGTATGTCTAGATTGTCATCTGTACAACTGAGTGGATCAGGGAGTGAGGATAGTGGTACATTCTTGATTTAGGGGAGAACAGATTTGGGGGAGGGGGTGGCCAGAGGTATTGTTCAGTTTTGGAATGGCCAGGCTCAGGTTGATTCATTTGTATGGCAATATTAAGAAAGTAGTTGAATATACAGCTCTGAAACTTAGGTGAGAGGGATAGATTTTGGAGTCGTAAGCATTTATAATGCTTAATATTCAGAGCCCTGAGAATGGATGGAATTGTCTAGGGAGAAAGGATAGAATGAGAAAAAGACCCAAGACTGACATCTTTCCCTCCTCTCTGTCCTCAACACTTACTTAGAGGGAGACACATAAAAGTGTTTGTCAGGATGAAAATGTTTTAAAAAGTTCTTTGAGAAGTTTTCTGTTTTGTATCCCTGTTTAAAATAATTTACTAGTGCACTGCTCCAGGAAATGTCAACTGTGGTCAGCCCATTTTTACTAACAGTGTGAACTACTAAGAAGAAGGAATTTTAATGTAGCTAAAAGCACTGGTTTTACCATACAACTCTGAGACTTGAGACAAGGGAGCAAAGAGGGTTTGTTTGTTTTCAGACTTTAACATTCTGTCCACTTATTCAAAACAAATAACAGTGTTTATTTAAAGGTGCTTTCATATGTTTCTAAACTTCTGGCAAAAATGACATAAATGCTTATTCCTAATCAACTTAACCGCTAGTGTGGGGGTGACAGTCAAGGGAAGGGCTCTCTCCTCCTGTAGAAAAGGTCATGAGCAAGGCAAGTCCGTTTTTTTTAAAGATTTATTTATTTATGAATACAAGAACTGGAGTACAGGCCAGAGGTACAGGGCCTGAGAGGATTCACTAGAGACAGAGTGGGGAGCAGAAAAGAACAGGCACATTAACTGAAATACTCTTGCTGAGGGGAGCAAGAGGCAAGACAGGAGAGGTCTGCTGCACCGTGGGGGTCAGCTCACTGGCCGGAGATCCAGCCCGTGCTATAGTGATTGGAGGTGGCTTCATAACACTGCACTTTAACCCCTTGCGCCACCAGGGAGGGCCCAAATCAAAAATATTTTTTGAAGAATTATGTCTATTGTATGAAAGAGACCCTTAGACTGCTTGGGTCTTTTCTTCTTCTCTGTTACTTACAGCACTGTCCAGCCAAGATGCACACACCATATCTGTGTTGTCCAGTACAGGAAGTACCAGCCAGAGACTTGAACACATGAAGTGTGGCTGGTGTGACCAAGGCACTAAATGTTCAGTTAACCTAAACAGCTGCATGCATCTGGCCACATATTGGACAGCATAGAAAGAATTTACGCTTAGTCTCAGTATGAGACAGACTTGCTTACAGGGTTACGAGGAGACTTGCCTCATGGACCTCCTCCATACCTGTGGCTTTCTGTTTGCATTTGTTGCCTTTTTATCCCTTATCCCATTCGTCACAAGCAACGTAGCACATGAGAGGGGTATTCTCCCTCTGCTCCGACTTTTCTACAGTGAACATGACTTTAATACAAAATAGAACCATCCTGCTTGCTGTCTCTGCAACATACTGTTAGGGAAATAGTCACTTTAAGCTGAACGGCCTGGTGGCGTTGCCTGGCGAGATCTGTGCTGGAGCACACTGGTGATCCCTGTGTGGCCTTCCTTCGTAGTGGCCTTCCTCTCCCTGTGACTTGCTTCTCTCACCATTGACATCCTTCCTAGAATCAGTTTCCTAATACTTACGTGATCTCTGGCCTCATCTAGGCCCCCAACACCCATACTTTTATTTTTGTCTTTTCCTTTGGCCTTAATTGACTCACCTGTCCTGCTGAATGAAACAATAGGGACTTTTATGGAAGAAAAAAGGAGCCAGATCAGTAGGCAGTCGGTTATGGCCGACTTTATCTGATAACCGAGATAAATCTGCTTTTCTGTCATACCAATAGCATGGCAACAGTACTATGTGACCTCTTGTTTCCTGTTTAAAAATTTCTAAATATCTAATTTTTTTTTAAAAAAATATCACACAAGCCGCTATGATTAGTGTGGATTGTATGAGATCTATAGGTTTAACTAGAGTGGGAAGAAACACACATCGCTCATTACATTTGTTCACAGTGTTTTATAGTTCCATGTCTTTTGGTGAATGTGGATATAAAATGTCACGATATTTAAAACGTGTATATTTGCATTTTACTCAGTAGGTGTCCAAAATTTTAAGGACATTCCCCAATAATATTGGCCTGTTTCCTTGTGTAATCAGAGGAATACTATTTCAAGATTATTGACTGTGTGTGGTCTGTGGCCTTGAGCAGAATGGAGTTAACCGGCCACAGGGGATTATGCTATGAGGTTGACAATCGTTGTTTTGGTTTTTTCCTTCCCCCAAGCCATGAGGTTGCTGGGTTTTTGTTTTTGTTTTTGCTTTTTTCCACATTGGTAATATGCTTTGACTAATTGAGTTTCTAATTCTGTCTGGGAGGAGCGCAACATTTATCAGTGGTCACTTAGAACTATTCCCCAAAGCATTTTTAATTTTAGTCATTCGGTATCATTCCTCCCTTGTGGGATCGAAAAACATCACGTTCACTTCTACAGTGTCTTGAAATTGATCCTCCTTCATTTTCTATAACTTTCTGCATTAGCAATTAAACAAGCAGGGCCCTCCCTGGTGGCGCAGAGGGGTAAGGCTCAGCACCCACGTGGTGCGGCAGACCTCTCGCCTCTCTGCCCGCTGCGCCCCTCAGCCGCGTATTTCAGTCATTCTGCCTGTTTTGTTCCCCACTCTGTCTCTGGTGCATCCTCTCACTCCCGCGTGCCTCTGGCCTGTATCCCAGCCCTTATATACATAAATAAATATTTTTTAAAAAAATTAAACAAGCAGATCAAAATAAAAACAAGCCATGACTCATGGGTTAAGGGCCTCAATAGCAGCACTGGTCTCCGAAACTGCCTGCCCCCGGAGGATGCTGACATGTGTTTCCTTAATACTTCCTGTACAGTTGACTTGCTGTTTCTTTTTATTTCCAACCTTCCCTTATTAAATCATAAATCTCCTACGGAAACTAGTCACCTTGCAGTATACAGGGCCTAATTGCCTTTAGATTAAATCTTATTTTGGCTTGCAATTCTCTAGATGTTTCAGAAAGAACAGGTGGATCCTCTTCAGATGAAATTGCAGCAGGTGAATGGACTTGGCCAGGGATTGATTCAGAGTGCCGGGAAAAACTGTGATGTGCAGGGTCTGGAACATGACATGGAAGAGATCAACACCCGATGGAACACTCTGAATAAAAAGGTGAGCGGCCAGGGACTAAGGCGGCCCAGGGAACCGAGGGGCTGGGAAGGAGACATCGCTTAGCACAAGATTCCCTGGAACTGAGCACAAATACGGTTGCAGCCTGTAGTGACTGGAAGGGGTCAGTGGTGACCGTAACAGCCCTCTCCTTGCTCATAATGCGCCTCCGTGTCGGTTGCAGGTTGCACAAAGGATCGCACAACTGCAGGAGGCTTTGTTGCATTGTGGGAAGTTTCAGGATGCCTTGGAGCCGCTGCTCAGCTGGCTGGCAGACACCGAGGAGCTCATAGCCAATCAGAAACCTCCATCTGCTGAGTATAAAGTGGTGAAAGCACAGATCCAGGAACAGAAGGTAAGTGAGAATGTTGGGACAGTGAACTGTAACAGCCGTAGGGAGCGGCAGACAACACATTTGCTTATAGTTTAAAAAGCACATTTAGGAGCTGTAGTCGAAGACTAACCTACTTTGTGTGATCCTGAAAAGGAAGGCTGCCTTTGCTTTGCATCATCTTCCTTTTTAATCTGCTAGTTCAACTGGACATGTATTGAACTGAATAGAGTTCCTTTTTCATACATCCTATTTCAGTGTTGCAGTCACAGCTTTAAGAGGTTTTTTGTACCTTCAGGGGCAGCAGAGTTTTAAGTAATTTTGTACAGCAACTCCGTTTTTCATATAACGTTGACGATGAAGCAGATCCGTTTGGGGCCACTGTGTGGGGTTTGCACATCCTCCCGTGTCTGCGCAGGCTTTCTCTGATACTCTGGTTTCCTCCTGCACCCCAGGGATGTGCATGTTAGATTAATTGACGTGCCTAAATTGTGAGTGTGTGTGTGCACGTGTGTACACACAAGCCCCTCGATGAAGGGGTCACCTGTCTGTAGTTGGCCCTGGGCACCTGGGAGGCTTAACCCATACAAGACTGAACTGGAGTAAATGCTTTGGGAATGAATGAATACAACATGGTTGAATATTCCAAGAGTTTTGGGTCTTTTTAAAGAAGTTTGATAATGTTTTTGTATTGAGAAACATGCCGTAGGATCTTAACCCTTGTTTCTATCAATTAGCCTGTGGTAGAAGTGGGCTTGTCTTGCCTAAAGCCGCAGCCTCCCAGCCTGAGGACAGGGGGGACTTACAGTTTACCGCATGCAAGGCCTTTCTTGTCTGTTGGTCCGAGAGCCATGGCAGGATGCTTTGCTCTTGGTTCCCAGTGAGTTAGTTCCCTGTTAGTCCCATAGTGACAGTCACTGCTCCCCTTAAAAAAAACTTAAGTTGATGTGGGTGATGAGAACTATGCTATATCTTATCTTTTGCCTCAAGAATGAGCAGAACCTTCTGTTATTCAGTTAAACTGAATATGGTGGGGTAGGGGTTCTTGTTAGCTTTTTTCTTCCTTATTTTAGATTTTTTTAATGACCCCATGTTATTTTCATTCCCTTTAAATGTGTACAATAGTTACTCCAGCGGCTCCTAGATGATCGAAAGGCCACTGTGGACATGCTTCAAGCAGAAGGAGGTAGGATAGCCCAGTCTGCAGAGCTGGCTGATAGAGAGAAAATCACCGGGCAGCTGGAGAGTCTTGAAAGTAGATGGACTGGACTGCTCAACAAGGCAGCGGCCAGGTAAGGCCAGAGGGCCGTGGAGGAGTGGGTCAGAGAAGGTTGTCTTCTTGCTCGCTTGGCTTCACAGAGGTGCTCTCAAAGCCTCTGGTTGACTCATAGGGTGCTGTGGAAGGTGTCTTTTGGCTTCATCTGCAGATGTCTTCAGGTGATGCTCAGGCCAGAGTCACTCAGGTTGTGCGGCTCAGCTGCTCGGCATCTCTGAGAACCAGCAGACTCGTTTCTCTGCTCTTCTGCTACGGCAGAGTCATGGTTCCCAGCAGCAGGCGCCACATTCACAGTCCAGCCAAGCTAGCTTCTGAGTTTCTAGAACAGATTTTCCCCCTTCGTGTTTATAAATAAAGCTTTTGATACTTGGACTTGAGATTTATCATATTTTCTGTTAGCTTATCCTAATATTGGATTTTTTATTTATTTATTTATTTATTTATTTATTGCATCTGAATAAACAAACCCCAGACCTGTTGTTCTGTTGATGTTTGACTATATGGGCCTTCAAAAGATGGGTGGGCCTTGTTCAGAAGCAGCTGGAAGACAGGTGCCCTGCTTCTGACGGACGCTCTGGCTCTTTCCCAGCTGTGTTGCCTCAGTGTCAGTTTTGCCCACAGATGTGTTTGCTTCTAACTTACACTGTCCCCGTTTTTAAGAAGAAATGTTAGCTAGTCAGAAATTAGTGTGAGAAAAGTAAAATAGATCAGTTATCATTGATTTTGTTTTCCCCCAGTTTTCTAAGTAGCGAAGTGAAGTGTTGAAACAGCTCTTTCCACTCTCTCTAGTTAGTGGGTAAAACAAAAATAAGAAAAATTAACCCATTTTTATTTCCAAGTTGTATTGTTACTTTTTCTTCTTTGTCCAGTTCTACTAGTAGTGCCACTCCAGTCACCTCAAGTTGTCTGTTGTCTTTCTCATCTGTCCAGTTCTCTAGCTCCCACTGCTGCCTCAGTCCATAACGCAGGAACGCCCCTGGGGCTAGCTGAGGCAGCTTCCTAACCAGCACCTACTGCCGCTTGCTGCCCCTGGCCTGCCCCCTACTCCTGTGCCAGGCCTCCCATCATGCTGCAGGTGAACGTCTTCAAAGTATGTCTCTGATAACTTTTTCCGGGCTTAGAGACATTTATTGACTCCTGGTTGCCTGTAAAATAAAATCTAAGTACTTTAGCCCACATTGAAGTCCTCTACTATTTTATCCTGATCTACCTTTCTTAGTTTCCATTCCATATGTTACAGGTGATGTAAGCCGCATTCTGTTGAGTATTTCCCGCATTCTGTTGAGTATTTCTGTCAGTGTCCAGCTCTATGTCTTTGCTAATAGTATTGCATCGTCTTTGAAATACTTTTGCCCATCTCCCCCCCTTCTGTGAAGCTTTATCCCCCAAGCACGGAATATTATTATACTAGATTTAAGATTTCAAGTGAACTATAAAGTCTACAGTTCTTCTGGCTTTCAGTTTGTTGGCAAATTCAGCTTGTCTGAGGTCATTTTTTGCCTTAAATCTGGATTTGCAATTATGTTCTGGGAGCTAAAATTACTAGAAGCCTGAGTCGGTTTGGGGAGCTTTGGAGGGAGCGTTAGTTTGCAGCCTGCCTTTGTTCTCCAAAGAGCTCCCTTGCCTTACTCACTAGTGAGGAGCAGTGACAGAGCAGAATGAAGACTGGTGATGTTTTTTGCCTCCTTTAGACATCATTTTGGTCACATGCTCAGGTGGTACATGCACTACATTCCATAAGGGAAAGAGAACAAGGTCTGGGTCTGATCCTCACTGTACTGTTCAACTCACTGAGTGACTTGGACAGATCTTCCTTTAACTTTTCAGGGTTGGTTTTCTCTTTGGTAATAACTGGACAATTATTTTACCTACCTTACAAGTTTTTGACAGGGTCAAGGTAATACTCAGGAAAGTTTTAAAACAGCAAGTGCAGTCTGTGCATGTTTTTGTTTCTCTTGATTGAAAGTGTACCTGGTGATGACTGGCCTGTCCTGAGTGCAGTACTGTCACCAGCCTAAATGAGCCTTGTTGCCTGAGCAGCTCTTTGTGTATATTTGTATAGGCAAAAACAGCTGGAAGATATCCTGATTCTGGCCAAGCAATTCCATGAGACAGCTGAGCCTATTTCTGACTTCTTATCCGTCACAGAGAAAAAGCTTGCTAACTCAGAACCAGTCGGCACTCAGACTGCTAAAATACAGCAGCAGATCATTCGACACAAGGTAGGAAGTAGTTATGGTAAATAAAAACACAGAACTGGAATTAGAAGACTGCCTACAGCATTCTGGAAGGCGTGTTTTGGATTTTTTTTTTTAAGATTAATGTAAAACAATATCAAACTATTAATTGGAAAAGTCGTATTTTTGACGTAAAAATAGAAACCAGTGAATAGGCCATCATCAGAAAGCATAACTTCAGTTCTCAGTTTTTGAATTATGTTTGCCCTTTTCCGTACATGAACTTTTTGTATTATGATTTAATTTGTTATATCATTTGTTGTTCATTGTTTCATGTTTACTTTTCATTTATTTGGTTTCTGTTACTCATTTTTTCCATCTGGATTTCCAGGCTCTGGAGGAAGAAATAGAAAGCCATGCAGCAGATGTGCACCAGGCAGTCAAAATTGGGCAGTCCCTCTCCTCCCTGACGTGTTCTGCAGAACAGGGGGTGCTGGCTGAAAAGCTAGACTCATTGCAGGCTCGGTACAGTGAGATTCAAGACCGGTGCTGTCGGAAAGCAGCCCTGCTTGAGCAAGCACTGTCCAATGCTAGGCTCTTCGGGGAGGATGAGGTGGAGGTGCTCAACTGGCTGGCTGAGGTTGAGGACAAGCTGAGTTCAGTGTTCGTAAAGGATTACAGACAGGATGTCCTGCAGAAGCAGCACGCTGGCCACCTGGTATTCATGGTTTCCCTTCTCCTTGGTTATGTTACTCTTTTCGTTTCTGTTTCTCTTCATTTTGCTTTTGATCCCAAGCATTTCAGCTTTATAAGTACGTAGCTGTAGACTTGGTGCTAAGGACTAAGCTCTCTTTTGATGAATTCTTTTTTGGAAATTCTTGTATTTAACAAACTGAATCTGTAGTTTCTAGAAGATGATTTGGAATGTAGTCAGGTGCCACATCAGTCCCTCATGCTCAGCATCATTTTAGCTGATGTGTCGCTAAATTCCCTTCCCAGCAGATTTATGAAAGAGAATGAACTTTAAGACCAGACGCCTGAAAACCATATGCCTGAATAGTGCCCAGAGTCTGATCATATAGCTGTGACTTTTTTAATATTTCTGGAATTTATGTGCTCAAATTCCAAGGATACTGTGTCATCTCAGTTTTGCCCTTTTCATTTCATTATTAAGAAATTTCTTTGGGGTGGAAAAAACGTGAATGTCACGTGTGCATCGCTAAAAGCCAACGTGTGTGTGCTGCGTTACATTGAGTTCACCTCAGGCTTCGTTTCTCTCCTTGACCTTTCAGTCAGTCATTTCTTGCTAACATTCTTCACTTAAACTTTTTGTCTTTTATTTGTTCTGAACATAGTAGACATTTCTGCTGCATTCTCCCTTTCTTAAATTCAGGTTTGGTACTAGTAGATTATCAAACTTATTTAATCCTAAATTTCTTTATCATCCAGCATATATAGTCTATATAATTATTTTGAGTAATGGGGTAACTAGAGAGATAATGAAAGAATCAAATAGCTGATGTTTACATTAAACTGATATTCTCTTTATATTAAATTTGGTCTGCTAAAGGTCTCACTTTCCTTTCCCGTTGTTTTGTCATGGTTTGGGGAGTAATGTTACTCTTTCCTTTCAGGCTTTGAATGAAGAGATTATTAATAGAAAGAAGAATGTAGATCAAGCTATTAAAAATGGGCAGGCGCTTCTGAAACAAACCACAGGTACTTTGAACATGCATCTCTTAGCTCCTCTGTGGTCACACAGGCAGTCACATACCCAGGAAAATAAGCACCTGGCTTTCGCCTCTTTTTGTCTAGAGGAGACACTTAGCAGTCACTTACTGTGTTCCTGCTGGCTAGGGTTCCCATTACCTTCTATATTCTTTTAAGACTAAAAGACGGCCCCTTCCTGGTGGTGCAGCAGGTTAAAGCACAGCACTGTGAAGCAATGTGCAGCCACTGCAGCTTGAGTTCTATTCCTAGGCAGGGAGCTGACCCACATGGCGCAGCAGAGATCTCTCCTGTCGCTTCCAATGCTCCCCTCACCTGTGTATTTAAGTTGATCTGCCTGCCCTGCTCCCCACTCTGTCTCTGGTGAATCCTTTCACACACACCCCCAACACCTCTGGCCTGTACCCCAGTTCCTATATGCATAGGTAAATATATCTTCAAAAAAAAAGAAAGAAAACTAAAAGATTTTGTTACCTCAGATCTGGTTACAGGTAATGATTTCCCTTGCCCTCCAACTTGTCAAACACCAGCATTCATTAAACAGTGCTGAGAATATCTAGAAATCCCCACAGTCAAATTCAGGTCTTAATAATTTCAAAAGTAACTTTTATCGAGGGAAGGGCTTATTTTATTTCCCACCTGCTGTTACTGTGGGAAGCTTAGTGAAATCACTACCTCAGGAAGAGGCCATCTATAGAATTTTAAGCTCTTGAAGAGGTGGGTTAGAGTGACCCCTCATCGCCAAAAGGGGATCCCACTTGTCCTCTTAAACATTACTAATTAGTGTTGACTCCCACAGGTGAGGAGGTGTTGCTTATCCAAGAGAAACTGGATGGAATAAAGACCCGCTATGCAGACATTACAGTCACCAGCTCCAAGGCCCTCAGAACTTTAGAGCAAGCCCGGCAGCTGGCCACCAAGTTCCAGTCTACCTATGAGGAACTGACCACATGGCTGAGGGAAGTAGAGGAGGAACTGGCAGCCAGCGGAGGGCAGTCTCCCACAGGGGAGCAAATACCCCAGTTTCAACAAAGACAGAAGGTGGGTTGTCATCTCACACTGTAAAAGGGAAAAGAAAACCTTTCCTCTTACAATCTCTAAAGTTCAGATTCTTTAATCCATCACCAGCCAGCTCTACCTTAAATCTAAATTAAAATTGTCTGTCTGTCTCCTTTCTTGTTTACTCGTGGACAGGAAGATCTGATATAAGGATTTGATAAGAGCACTTGTTGTGGTCTGAAAAAGAAAGAAGATTGAATCCCAAATCCCTAGGAAGTTTGCTTCTTATGTAACATTTTACAGTTGACTCTTGTGTTTAATTTTCTGAGGAGTGTTCCATGATTGTATTTGAGGTTCCTGCAGGATCTAGTGCAGTTCTACATGCACAAAAATGTGCAAAGTACTTAAGTTAAGGATCTATGGTTCAAGCATGATTTGCCATTTATATTGAAATGAGAAAAGGGAAATCAGCACCGTTTGTTTTGTCCAGAGGTAGACTGGCTCAAGAAGTCTTGCAGACACCTCTGAATAAGGTGCAAGTAAGCTTTAAAGCCAGGCTGTGGAATGACTGAACACTCTGGACAGGAGAAAACTACCTGAAGGAAGGAGGTCAGGGCCCTGCTGGGATGTGTGGTGGAGAGAGCGCTTTCTACCCAGCACAGCTGCTGACGTGCTTAATTTAGCAAAGTATGGCCTGAAAACTTTTTTCCTCTCCTTGTAGGAATTGAAGAAGGAGGTCATGGAGCACCGGCTAGTGTTGGACACAGTGAATGAGGTGAGCCGTGCCCTCCTAGAGCTGGTGCCCTGGAGAGCCAGAGAAGGGCTGGATAAACTTGTGTCCGATGCCAATGAGCAGTACAAGCTTATCAGTGACACTGTTGGACAAAGGGTGGATGAAATTGATGCTGCTATTCAGAGATCACAACAGGTAATGTTTATAACACCTCTGCATTCTTATTTTAGTCAGCAGGGGCACAAAATGATGGGGTACAAAATTACGACCCACTTAAATACAGCAATGAGATTAAGCTAAACCTGAGGCAACAAATTACTTCCGCGATGGGAAGTTTTGGTAGAGATCCGAGAATGAATCTAGATTTGACCGGAAACACTGTCCCCTTTGCGTGGAGGCGAACTTGGAGAAGACTCTGCGTGGGCCGTCATCTTCGCTTGTGCCCTAGGAGGTGCATAGATAGGAGTGGGGGTGGATGATATCTAGACCCCAAAGGCTCAAAGGCATCACAGTCTTAGTTTGATATAATCAACTGTTTCAACATTAGATGGGAGAGGGAGAAGGGAACCCCGCGCTATAATTTACTATCAAATATGCTAACCAGAATAGCAGAGACATCCAAAATAGAATGATCCTAGTAAACACAGGTGTCATATTTCCCTCAGTCATTTTTTCCTTCCTGCTATTTTGAAAAACAAGTTTATTTGCTTTTCTTTAAAGCTGGATACTCACCACTAATGTGCCATAGCACAAAAGTAAATTCGTAAGACATTGTTCCTTGGGTTCATTGTGATAAATAAATGCTTTCTGAACACACAGAAGTTTGCTCTGACCCCCAAATACATCCCTAAAGTGTCTTCATTTGATATTCCTAATCTTGGCCAATATTTCAATATGAAATTCCCCATGCTTGGAAGAAGCTGACTTCTCCCTTTAAATATTAATGTTTATTGAAGAGGAAGCAATAAAAGAATGGGGGACATTCATTAAACAGCAGTCACTTAGAATAAGTTTTTAGTTTTTCTTTGTTATTGCATAACTGTTTAAAGGTTTGGTGTTCTTCCAAAGGTCTTAGGCTTCTTCAGCTGAGTTAGTAGTTCTAAGTTAACTTGACTCAGCTCTCTGTTCTCATGTTAAATTCTAAACATATGATTAAAACTACTACTGGTTAATATCTAGAAGGAGAGTTGATGCAGACAACCTCACTAAAGCACTCTGATAGAAGTATATCTTTTTTCCATTGTTCCTTCTACTTGGAAGCCCACTGACTGGATTCTGTGACTTCTTTCTAAAAATTAAAATGGGGTCAAGTCATATTTGTTCAAAAAGTATACTCTGCATCTCGATTTGTGATTTTGTGAAATTCTTACTATTTTGTCTTTGTGAGATAAAAACTGACTACTGAAAATATAGGTCTTTCTATGTTGATAAACTGTAGTTCTAAGCAAGAGAACCTAGGCTTTAAGTAACCTGTACATTATTCTTCAATCTCTTAGTATGAGCAAGCTGCCGATGCAGAACTAGCTTGGGTGGCTGAAACAAAACGAAAACTGATGGCCCTGGGCCCAATTCGCCTAGAGCAGGATCAGACGACAGCTCAGCTGCAGGTACAGAAGGTGAGTGGAACGCATAGATGCTGTGTCCTGAGCTGAATGTGATGTCATCAGAAGCGCAGACTCAGGAAGAGAGAGTTGTCTAGTGGAATAATGCAATGTCATGGTAATGGATAGAGGTTATTTTACAAATATTTGTTTAGGAGAAGGAAGGGATGTTTTTGCTCTATGAAGCATGGCTGGGAGAGGGGAAGGGAGCTCATCAATGCAGGCAGAAAATAGCTAGCAATTTTCTGGATGGTTGTTAGGAGGTAAGATAGTTTTGTGAGCTGCTAAATGGCAAGCATTGAAGATGTGTGGCTAGACAGTGTCAAACTTTAAAAGAACAATTATTGATGTGATTGTTAAAATGTGGAATTTGTCATAGGTTATCTGTTCACTGACATAGTTACCATGTCCCTTTACTTATTAACTCCTTTATTTTTTAAAGGCCTTCTCCATTGATATCATTCGACATAAGGATTCCATGGATGAACTCTTCAGTCATCGTGGTGAAATCTTTGGCACATGTGGAGAAGAGCAGAAAGCCCTATTACAGGTGAATTACATTCATTTACTCACCATCTTGTTCTTGATCCTGGTGAATTATATTAGAAGTACAGTTGTGCCGAGATGATTTAAGTTTTTTTTTTTTTTCTTTGTTACTGGTGGTGATCTCAAGTTCATCTTGATGTTCTGGGGAATTCAGACTTCTTACCATGCTGTGTTCACAAGTATCTAATAAGCCATGTGATGTATTGAAAAAATGCCTTCTTTGTAACAGAAATTGATCTGTATTTTCAGTCCATAGGCGTGATCTTTGAGTTACCTTTCAGGGTAGCTGTGTTAGATTTTTCAGAACCACAAGCAGATTTAATTCCTTCTTTAGATCCATCTAAAAGATTATACACATTTCTAGAAGGGATTATAAGGGAAAGTTAGTTTATAAATCAATCCTATTTGTTTTTTATAATGGGTGTGGTTCAACCACTATTTCCTAAGAAATCTTTTTATTGAGTTGTCAGAAAGTCATGAAATATTTTCTGTTTTTCAAGCAAAAATGACTTTCCTGACAACCCACTATACCAAGTTACTCATCTTACGTATATGGGGATTATTAACATATCTCACATACTGTATGGCTTTATTAGACAGAATTTTGTAGACATTTTTATAAAAGGAAAAGACAAGTGAAACTGATGGGCAGGGACTCCACTAAAGCTTCTGATTTTTTTCAGTCTTAAGCCAATTCGTTATCATACAGTATCACTAAAAAGTTGCAGTTTTACTATCTTGTGCTATTTTGCTGTCTTTGAAACTGTTTTCATACTTCAAAGCCTTTTTATACAGGTTTTTTTGTAAGATTCAATAAGATTGCCAGTGATTTTTATTCTCTTTATTCCTATTAATCCACCTAACAGTTCAGTGTATATTCCTTTAAATTTCTTTAAAATGTGGGTACCTGTGTTTTTTATCAAAAGACAGTTCAGGCAGCAAACCCTAGGAATATGACTGCAGCACTGTGGCCAGTAGAAGGGAGGGGTGAGGGACCAGCACGGCAAGAGGGGCCCCGAGCTCCGTGGCGAGGGTCTGTGGGTGCTTTGGTGGCGAGCGGGTGGTGTATGTCTGACGAAGTATGCAATCATTCCCCTAAAAGCGACACAGTGTTGTGGACCAGTGTTACTTTAATTAATTAATGGTTCATAATAATAACACTAACTTTTTGTTATTCAAAGGAAAAGACAGAGTCTCTAATACAGCAATATGAAGCTGTTAGTCTCCTGAATTCAGAGCGCTATGCACGCCTCGAGCGAGCGCAGGTCTTGGTGAACCAGTTCTGGGAGACGTACGAGGAGCTCAGCCCTTGGATTGAGGAGACTCGGGCCCTGATAGCTCAGCTGCCTCCGCCTGCCATTGACCATGAGCAGCTCAGGCAGCAGCAGGAGGAGATGAGGGTAAGCAGCATGCCAAGGTTGATTTTATTACAGAACTAAAAATGGGGTCCACAGTTTACTCAAAAACAGCATATTTATTAGAACTTGCCGGAGGTAAGTTTATGTTCTGAAGTTGATTCTTAATCATTTAGCACTTATCTGCACATTAAAAATGCATGCGGATTATTTCCTCTGTCCTTTAATAGAGATCCATTAAAGAGTAAAATTATGGGTGCTGTCAGTAACCTAGATGTTACAGAAATGAACAATAAGCAAGCAACAGTCAAGGGAATTTAAACTTTCCAGGGACTTGGGGGTGTGGTTGGGTGGGGGTGTGGTTGGGTGGTGCTGTCAGAAAGCAATTTGCTGAAGTCACTCAAGTCGAAAGGGAAATTTGTAGACATTTCAACTAGTGCTGTTTCCAGTAGAGGTACTTTTTAAATGTTAACTTTATTGTGACTCACAGCTTACGGTTATTCCTATATCTGTATTCCTGTGGGTAGAAGGATATAAACTGGAAGTAGCCAGCAGTAAAGTCAAGGAGTTCAGATACACTGCTGTTTGTATTATGCCTTGTGCCACTTGGGGGCTCTCGGCCTGGCAAGAGAGACATAGTAAACCGCGGAAGTTATAGTACAGTGGATACAAGTACTTATGGGTACAGTTGAGGATGGGAGAAAATTGAACTGGAGGAGAGTAAAGGAGTGTGGCAAGGCTTCCTGGGTGATGGAATAGCTGAACTGGGTTTGAAAATTAAAGAACTATTTTGTGTCAGAGTCCAAGACTTGAATGTTTTTCTTTTTCCCCATAAATGTTGAGGTGCTAGGACTTGCTGTTATTAACAGTTCACATTGTTCCTTTCAAAGTTGGTATGAACTCTGATGAAGTACTTAAGCAAATGCTGGTATAAAAATGCTCATTTATTTTAATTCATCTTTCTTTACAAAGCAACTAAGGGAATCCATTGCTGAACACAAACCTCATATTGATAAGCTGTTAAAGATAGGCCCACAACTAAAGGAATTAAACCCTGAAGAGGGGGAAATGGTGGAAGAAAAATACCAGAAAGCAGAAAATATGTATGCCCAAATAAAAGAGGAGGTGCGCCAGCGGGCCCTGGCTCTGGATGAAGCTGTTTCCCAGTCAGCTCAGGTATGTGTCTTAAACTCTTACAAACCTTCAGCTATCCTCTGGCCTAAGCAAGAGGCCTCTGTGCTCAGGAGTGTCTAGGGTAGCGTGCCAATGGCACACAGTCTGAAGACTTGGGACCTTGGCCTGTCTTCATTTTATACCAGGGAACGTTGGTATAATACACTGGAAGAGGGTAAAGTATGTCTTGGCAGATACATGTTGTCTGCAGGTCCTTTCCTTGTAAACTTTATATTGTGTGGATCCTTTAGCAGGGAGGATTTTGGGTTAAGTCCTCTTTCAGATTCAAAAGGAAACAAATGCTTCAAGAAAAGTTAGGTTCCTGCTGGGCATATTACTTTAGAGATTTAGAAGACTGCACGTTAATTTTCTTACTCAAGTAAAGCCGGCTAACTCCCAGTTCAGAGAAAGAAGCTTGAGTAGGGAGAAGAGACAGAGCCATAAGCCAGCAGTGGAGTTTAAAGCATGTAACTACATACTTTTCAACTAATATATTGTTAGTGGTACATTTGTCATGTCTGGGTATTTTATTCCTATGTTTAGTCAGTACTCTTGGTTAACATTTGTACTTACTCGAGTTTTCCTCCCTTCCTCCCCACACCGCCCCATCTCTCACTCACATTGTGGAATGTGTTACTTTGTGTTGTTGCTGCCTGCTCCTGTCTTCCCCACATCGTCACATTTCATTGTTGTGTTGACCGCGCCCACCATTACAGATTACGGAGGTAAGGTGCCCACCCCCATTGGGATTAGGGGGTGTCTGTGAAGCTGAGCATGGAGACTGTCGCCACTGAGGAAACTGGCCTTTAGTAGACCAAACTCTGCTAGTGCAGTTAACTGTGCCAGTTGTGAGGGAGCAGTGGGCATTGGTCTTGTTAAGGAGATCCCACCACGCCATCCGTTATGATGTACATAAAGTGGACAGTCTTACACTAAGTAATGACCCAGAGTTGGTTTTAGCTCACTTTCTTAAGGGAGCAAACTTACCTTTGTTTGTTCCCTTTTCTCCCCTCTCTGCTTCAAGTTGTAAAGGAAAGCTTTATAATTACGGTCATGTTACTTAGCGTACGAAAAAAATGGGAAGGTGATTGTTCTTTTAGAAATTAATGAGGGTAGATTTGGCGTCCTTAAGTACCTTCCATCATGCCAGCACTTCTTTCTCACTTCTGCATTCAGGTTTTGAAAACTCCGTGTCACGTAGCACCTTGAGTTCCCATCCGTTTGTACAGTTGGTGGAGGGCCTCTACCCTGTTGGTCTAATCTGTTGCATGCAACTGTCGTCCGAGATGTGGACACACTGACTCATCAGTTTCATAGTCTTGTCCCTTTCTGTCACATTAGTTGGAATAGAAGTAGTATTGAGGCAGCACTAATGGTTTGAATTGATTTTTGGAGTATTAATAAATACATTTTTGGTTTCTGCAAATAGACACATACCTTCTTTTTCTGATGGGCCAGCTCTGATGTACTATGCCCAAGACAGTTTCTTAGCAAAGCTCAGCACTTGACAGGCACCAGGCTAGGCTGAGCACAGGCTGTCCTGAACAATGGGGGTAAATCTGTACCTCGGTCTTAGACCCTAGCAGGTCCCCCAGACTGTGACGCAGTACCACTGTGATGACTGACAGGTGCGCTTTTGTTTAGTTCCATGATAAAATCGAGCCCATGTTGGAAACTCTGGAGAATCTTTCCTCTCGCCTGCGTATGCCACCACTGATCCCCGCTGAAGTGGACAAGATCAGAGAGTGTATTAGTGACAACAAGAGTGCCACTGTGGAGCTGGAAAAGCTGCAGCCTTCCTTCGAGGCCTTGAAGCGCCGGGGAGAAGAGCTTATCGGGAGATCTCAGGGAGCTGACAAGGATCTGGCTGCAAAAGGTGCTTGATGGATCTAGTTTCGGTTGTTTTTTGTTTGTTTGTTTGTTTGTTTGTTTGTTT